AAGCAAAATGTACTTGCTATGAAGAATTTGCTATGTTTCCCCTATTGGGCCCCTCCCTTCTGCCCCCAGGGGAGGGCCACACTCGCTGTTTATACGAAATTGAGTCCCTTTTGCCCAAGGATGCTCCAGACTAAATTAGGATACAATCCCTTAATCAATATGGTAGAAGAAGGATTATAAAGGTTTTACTTCTGTTTCCCCTATTGGGTCCCGCCCCACCCCGCCCCTCAGGTCCCAGGGGGGCTACACCCACCGTTTATACAAAATTGGTTCCCCTTCACTCAAGAATGCTTCAGACCAAATATGGACCAAATCCATTCATTCCTACAGAAGGAGAAGGATTTTAAAGAATTTGCTATGTTTCCCATATCGGGCCCCGCCCCTCAGGCCCCAGACCCACAGTTTATACAAAATTGGTTCTCCTTTACCCAAGGATGCTTCAGACCAAATATGGAACAAATCCTTAAAATTTCTACAAAAGAAGGATTTTAAAGAATTTGCTATATATGTTTCCCCTATTGGGTCACGCCGCTCAGGCCCTCAGGGGTCAGACCCACGGTTTATACAAAATTAGTTCCCCTTTACCCAAGGATGCTTCAGACCAAATATGGAACAAATCCTTTAAAGGGACATCACGTGAAGAGCCATATTTTTTTTTAATGAATGTATGTATAGTATGCACTTCCACTTATGTTACCTCGCTATCCCCATATTCATAGTCCGTTCCAAATGTCCAGTCTGACCACTTGAATTGTTCAGGAAAGCCCTGCTAAAAATAGCGCCGATAATGTCACCTGACTAGGCAGTTAACAGGAGTGGTCTGGGCGAGATGAAACGGTTTCTAAAGGGGCCCCCAGAGAGGGGCGTCAGGCAACTGCAACTTCTTACCGCACTATGACACCAAGTAATATGATTTCTAAGTCTGTATTAAAACTTATTGAACAGTAATTATTCATCATTAAAAGTTAATTGCACACTTGCCAATATTCAATAATAATAGACATAAACATTAAGTATATATATACAAATATATATTGAATTTAGTACCGGAATGTGACACCTGTACAGGGCTAAACACCTTTATTCAACCATGGGACAAACCTTTGTGTAAAATGGAATATTCACGAGACGAATATCCCTTTTCAAATGTTTTCATAAAGTGCATATCTGCAATGACAAACTACATGCGTGTAAAAAAGAGAAACGTTTGTGATTTTTTTTATTACATTGTACAACTTAATATCTTTGGCCAATTTTTGTTTCTATACCATGCATACAAATGTATGTATACTACACATCCCTGGTATACTCTCTTTCCCACTTTCACCGTCTCCATACGCTAACACTTACATGTAGTTAGTCATATTAGCCATCACACACACTAAACTGTACGACAAAACCACTACGTGTACATGTAGAATATGCGTCAGCTATGGGACGTGTTGAGCTACTTGATAATTATATTTTTTCAATACTTTTCATAGATTAAAGCATTCTTGTCAATGGACCCTTTTTTATGTTGAGCCAACTTTTCTTTAATCATTTCATTTTTGTCCGAAACAGAAGCCGTAGTTATCGACAACACGCGTCAGTTTTACAAAGTAAACAAATGTTTCTTCCCCTGTTTTCAATCCTTTCCGATTCTATCTGAAGTCGAAAATTAATTCTTTATAGAGAAAAGGTTGTTACATGATCATACATTCTAAGTCAACAACATATGAAAACATGAACTGTTAAAATATTGCGATTTAAAAAACAAGAGGCCCATGGGCCTTAACGGTCACCTGATATATTTATACAGAGAGTTGATTTTGTTTTTAACATGAACAGAAATATTATTCAAAGTGACAAAAAACAATAAAACCACCTTACTCAATATCTAGCATACAGATTTCAGACTAAAAAGGATTTGAAACTAGCACCTCTGATTCTTAACAAGGAAAATGAAGAAATTTTAGCACACTGACTCCTTTGAGCCC